CTAGGAATCAGGCTAAGCTTAAATATTTGTTTAATGAACAGTAAACACAGCTTGGTGAAGTTTTAAAAAAATTAGACAGTATTAATAAGTTAGATAATGTTGTTAAAAGAGACAAAAGAAAAAGTCTGCAAAAAATATATTAGATGTTTGCTTTTAAGTATATATATATCTTCATTACACTAATAGTTTGCCATCTATTAATGTTATTATATATATCACTATATATATTATATGTTATAGAATGTGACCAAAAAATTAACACATAATTTATTTTATAATCATAGACAGGCTAGTGATGAAGAAATAAAAGAGCAACTTAAAGAAATACTAGAAAATAATGATAAATGTAAGGAAAATCTACAAAAATTAAATGAAAAAGATGTTTTGTTTAACAAGTTTTGGAGTAATAAGCTTTATTTAGAAGTAGGCATTTTAATTCAATTTTACTTATATAAGTGCCACAAGAGTAAACCTGTAATTTTAGAAATAGATTATTATAAATTTTATAATCTATTTTTAAAATTGTGTGTTTACTCTTGCAGTACTGATATACTGTATAATTACTAAATATTAGATTTAATTTATTTAATATACAGATGCTTTCAGCTATTTAGTTAAAAAAAAGTTATTATATTTGACACGTAAAAGAGGAATTGTGGAGCACCTTTAGTATTAATTGAATAAAACCATTTAGCGAAAAAGACACAAGTGCAAATGAAAGATTAGAAAAAAATCCTAAAAAGGCATATAATAACTTATACAACCTCTGTGACCCAGATAATCCAAATTCTGACACATTTCTTTTGTTAATCATAAAATATATTTTTGTTTCTAATGAATAACATACCCAAGCAAATGTCATTTAGACTCAATCAGTTCTAAAAACCATTTTTGATAAGAAATATCTTTTACTAAAAATTGATGCAGATGTCGTCGATATGTGGATTCAAAAGCTTTTGAACCCTGAGGATAATGAAAATATATATATATTTATTATTTATTTATAATTTTACTAATTTATTTGAACTAGAGGTACAGATGTAACTTCGCAACTTGTTATAACTATAGTGAATTATTATGTTTTTTTATAACTTATTATAGTCATGACAAGCTAAGAAGATACACTTGCATCTCTAATTTAAATATAATTTTTTTTTTTAGAATACTGTTTTACAAAAAGGTTCTGTATGTTCTCTCACAATAACAGAAGCAGCAATTTAAGAAAACTATGATGAATTATCTAATAGTAATAATAATACAAATGATTATAGTAGTAATAGCAAGGATGTTTTATAGAATAGATGAGCAATATAAGAAATAAATGTTGCTAATAATTAGTAACATTAATTTTTTAATATCAGAGTTGCAGAGTTGGTAGAGTTTGCCCATTAGAGATATTAAGTCATTTGGCTAGAACTAGTTCGACTGAGTTCAAAACTCAGACCATTATAATTCAGATTGAATTAGCAGAACTAGTTCATTTATTACACTAATCACATAATATACCACAGTTAGTTTTTGTATATGACTATATATTATTATTAATATCAAATTATTTATTTGTTTTGCTATATTAAATTTCAGAATTTAATTTATCTTGCTATATTAAATTTTATTTATATATAGTAATAGATTATTTAATTTATCTTCTATATTAAATTTTGCTTTATAGTGATAATAATAACAGATTATTCATTCTAATATACACAACTCTTTCTGACGATCACTTGGTCAACAACAATTTACTGAACTACAGTTAGTGATATAGGGAAGCAACATAGTAGACACAGCAATATTCTTGGTTTTGCACTAAGCAAACTTGTTGTCGACGAAGCCTA